AATTGGAGAGTTTAATGTGAGGATTTGAGGGGCCCTTTGACGTCGGATTTGATGGTTTTGGTATGTATAGACTCGTGAGTGAAAGGAGTTTCTAGTTTTGTGATTTTTGTTGGATTCCGAGACGTGGGCCCGGGGGCCGGGTTTGGATGAATTTTGGGTTTTGGTATAAATTGATAGTTTTTCGTTTGGAAGTGATCCCTTGGACTATATTGATCATATTTTGTTGCTTTTGGTTAGATTCGAGGCATTTGGAGGCCGATTCCAGAGGCAAGGGCATCGCGGAGCAGGGATTTGACCGGTTTAAGGTAAGTAATGATTGTAAATCTAGTCCTGAGGGTATGAAATTTCACATTGTTTTACTACTTTGAGGTGACGCACATGCTAGGTGACGAGCGTGTGGGCGTGCACCGTAGGGGATTGTGACTTGGCCCATCCAGTAGCAACTATATAGTTGCGTATTTGACTGAAACTATATGATACTTTTGTGATTTAGAAAGAAATCCTATAACTTGGGCTGAATGCCATATTTGGGCCTTGTTCCTTAGGGGCCTTTTTGATTTAAGATCTATACTCAGTCATGCTACTTTTACTGATTTCATAAACTCAGTCTTTATTACCCGTTTTGATGCATATAAAAAAAATGTTATTTGGGCTGAGCACCCTGTTTTTACTGATAGCACGAGTGGCTTGAGAAGTTTATGACTGAGTGAGGCCGAGGGCTTATTCTTGTGAGGATATTTATGGCATCAGGTTGCACGCCGCAACATGTTGTTACTGACTTATGATTTTGTGAGGCCGATGGCCTGATTGATTTATGCCACGAGGTGGCTTGTTATGAGGCCGAGGGGCTTGTTATAGCGCTTGGGCTGTAGGAGCCCCTCCGGAGTCTGTACACCCCCAGTGAGCCCGGGTACCCTGAGTAAGTGATATGATTTGTTGCCCGAGGGGCTGTATACGAGTGATGTTTGCCCGAGGGGCTGTTTATGATTTATGTTGCCCGAGGGGATGATTATGTTTTCATCATTTTTACTCATTGTTTCATCACTTTGTTTGAAAACTGTTGAAAGATGTTTTAAACGGTTTTACTGAAACTGGATTTAAATGAGCTGAGTTGATTCAGAACCCTATTTTTAAAAGCCTGTATTCTACTGATATTTCATGATATGAATTGTATATGTTTTATTGCTCATCACTATGGCTCAGTCTTTATTAGGATGGATAAGATCAGGAATGATGATATTCGGGAGAAGGTGTGCGTGGCCCCCATTGATGACAAGATGCGGGAAGCGCGGCTCAGATGGTTCGGGCATGTTAAGAGGAGAAGCCCAGATGCTCCGGTAAAGAGGTGCAAACGGCTGGTTGTGGAGAGCACGAGAAGAGGTAGAGGGCGGCCTAAGAAGTATTGGGGGAGGTGATCAGGCAGGATATGGTGATCCTTCAGATTTCCGAGGACATGGCACTTGATAGGAACATGTGGAGGTCGAGTATTAGGGTTGTAGGTTACGAGGTAGTTGGGTCTTGCCTTATGTCATAACTTTGTGGGATTAGTTTGGTAGGGATACTATTTCGCTTTCGCTGTGTATCTTTCTTCTGGATTTCATGTTGTTCCTATTTTTCCTATTTTTCTTATTATTTCTGTGGTGTTACTGATTTTGTCTCCTTTTGTCTTTTTTTCCTCTTGAGTCGAGGGTCTTTCGGAAACAACCTCTCTACTCCTTCGGGGTAGGGGTAAGGTCTGCGTACACACTACCCTCCCCAGACCCCACTAGTGAGATTTCACTGGGTCGTTGTTATTGTTGTTGTACTTACTGAGTTGGTGTACTCACATTACTTATTGCACCTTGTGAGCAAATCCAGGGGTTGCTGGACGTGATAACGAGCGCTGATCTTTCATCCGTCGCGGATACTTCGGGGTTGGCAAGGTAGTTGCATGGCGATCGCAGCCTTGCTCTTCTCCCTCCCATCTTCCTTTAGACTATATTAGTGTTTTCTGACTGTAATAGTCTTAGTTTTATCGGATAGTCCTTAGTAGATGTTCGTGACTTGTGACACCCCGATGTCGAGCTTTTGTTTCTTTCCGCACTTTGTTATTTAGACTTATGCTATGAAGTTTTATTAATTAAAAGCTTAAAAACATCTTTATTATGAAATGTTGAATTGTTTTGGGATTGTGTCAGCTGGCCTAGTTACATGATAGGCGCCATCATGACCGGGTTGGTTTTGGGTCGTGACAATGTTAAGTCTGCATTCTTGAATGGCTTTGTTGAGGTAGAAATTTATATTGAGCAGCCTAAGGTTTCGTAGTCAAAGGGCATGAAGATGAAGTGTACCAGCTCAGGAAAGCTTTGTATGGACTGAAGCAGGCGCCCAGAGCTTGGTATAGCAGAATTGATGAGCATTTGTTGCAGCTGGGTTTTAGAAAAAGCCCCACTGAAGCTACTCTCTACATTAAAGGTGATGAAATCAATTTTATTGTAGTTTCACTATATGTAGATGAGCTGCTGGTTACAGGAAGCAATGACGAACTTGTTAAGAAGTTCAAAGAAGATATGCGTCATACTTTCGAGATGACGGACTTGGGAGAAATGGTCTATTTTCTGGGTATGGAAATCAAGCAAAAGGGAAAGGAAGTATTCATATGTCAAAAGAAGTATGCATGAGAGATTTTGAAAAAGTTTAGAATAGAAAATTGCAAAGAAACAGCTACTCCAATGTGTCATAAGGAGAAGTTGAGCAAAATTGATGAAGCTGAAAAAATGGATGAGACTCTTTATAGAAGTATGGTTGGTTGTCTCATGTATCTTACAGCAACTAGACCTGATATTTTATATGATGTAAGTATTCTATCTAGATTCACTAATTGTGCATTTAACACTCATTGAGCAGCTAAAGAGTGATGAGATATGTTAAAGGAACACTGCATTTTGGAATCAAGTTCTATGCATATCAGAAGTACGTTTTGCAGGGGTATTCAGATAGTGATTGGGCTGGTTCTTCCGATGAGTTGAAGAGCACTTCCGGTTATTGTTTTAATCTTGGTTCTGGGGGTATTTTCTTGGTGTTCTAAAAAACAAGAAATTCTTGCACAATCTACAGCTCAAGCTGAGTTCATTGCAGCAACAGCTGCTGCAAATCATGCCTTATAGCTTAGAAAACTTTTGCTTGATCTGAATTTGAAGCAAGAACAACGCACATAGGTGTTTGCAGATCAACAACCAGCTATTGCTATCTCAAATAATCCTATTTTTCAAGGGAAAACCAAGCATTTCAATATTAAATTATTCTTTCTCAGAGACCTGCTGAAGGAAGGATCAGTTGGATTAAAGTATTGCAAGACTGATCTTCAACTAGCACATATGTTTACCAAAAGCTTTGCCAATGAGCAAATTTGAATTTCTCAGAGTGAGGCTTGGAATTTGCAACAACTGAAGCATGGAGGATTGTTGAACAACTGCCTCAATTACTACAAGATTAAGTCAAACAACTGCTGAATGTTTTTCCTCACGTGTTTTACATTTTAGTATTCTTAACTTAGTTGCTGCTTTTGAGGAGTTTGTTGATCATGGAATCATGTGTTGATCATGGAATCATGTGCTGAGTAGTTGCTTAATTCTAGAATCTAGTTGTTCAGTTTTTTCTGTATTTAAGCACCATTTTTTGTTCTGAATATTACTTTCTACTAGCAAATATTATCTCTTCTTCTTGCCTTTATTTCCTTGAAGTTACAGTAGAACTTATAAAAACTCCAACACTATTCGAATTTTTTTCCTTCACGTATTAAGCATGTCAAGCACTATTTGTTATTTTCCACATGAAAAGCATCAACACCATTTGCTTCATGCGATAATGTACGTCAAGCACTGTTTGCCCCTATAGGCTATACGGTATTTTTGAGCACTATTTGCCCATCTTCGTGTAACGTTTTTACTTTTGTTACTTTACTTTAGTCACTTGAAAGCAAAAAAGAAAACTACATTGGCAACAAGAGAAGAAGAAATGTGAATCACATAGCGGCTATAACCACTAGAGCAATAAAAGATCGACCGAATAGTCACCACTGTTTATTTGAGTTACAAAAAAGAGGGACATTTTTACGGTGGAATAATAGAAATTTGGCGGTGAAAGTGGGAAGTAACTACAAGTACACATGAAAGTAAACAATATATGTTTTCAAGCTTTGAAACAAACTGTACTATACAAACTCAACCATAATCTACATGATCCTTCATATCTTTAATCCAAAGACTAGGTAAACCAATTGGTATCATCCTTCAATGTAGCTTTAATATATGCCTTGGCAATGTTAAGTCCACATTGAAGTTTGATTTACCCTTGGTTCTTTCACCCCAATTTGCCATATTCTCTTCTGTATACATGTGTTTAGAAGAAAATTTAGCAATTCCATCTCTGTGTGACATATAGTCACTTACTTGCCACATAATTACACATTCTTTCCAGACCATTAGAATGATGATTAGAGACTCTGATTCGACACAAACATTGTCAAATCCATTATCCAAACACCATCTTATTCCAGCCACCATTTTCTTTAATTTCTTTAACATTAATTGTTATTGCCAATGCGATAATACGATAAATATGCATTTGTTTCTGCATTGGGTGTGAATACAATAGCAGCACACGAAAGGCCTCTGTATTCCAAACCTCTGAACAACTTCTTTCTATGCCATATTTTAGTACCTGTCAGTCTAGTATATATTCTTCACCTGCCTAAAGGTTCTATAAGCAGTTCTACCAGGGCGATTAGGGGTCCAAATCGTGAGAAGAAGTTACAACATCCATACGAGGAACCAAATACTGCAAAAAGTTTCTTAATAATTTATCCTAACATAACATATTATATACTATAAAATGTCAAACGTTTACAAGATAGGAGTAGTACAAGATAAAACAAAATGTTTTGCTAACCAAAAACAACTACTACTCTATTTTGTTTCTTATCTAAAACATATCTTGATCTTCTATTTCTTAAAACTAGATAATACAAAACAAAACAATTATTCTCTTACAAAATTTCAATAATAATATCCCATACCAAATCCAAACACTCCAAAAAGAAAAAAAAAGTAAAACTAAGACACAAACAAGCACCATCTGACGGATATAAGTTGAACATGTAGGGTGCCTCTCCTTGTTGCCTTCAACTGATTGCACATTTATTTTAGGCTGATGAGTAAAATCAGTTACTTTTTCAGCAAAACAAAAAAAACATCCTAAAGCTCACATGTCATTCCAACTTTTAACATGCGCTTGGTAGGGATATCAAATAATTTGTTACTCTGCCTTAAGTTACTCTTGAGGAAATTGTAGGCGTAATCGATCACCACTCTTTTTGCTAAACCAGACCCTTTGCTTGCTATCACATCTTGTTCTCCTACCAAATGAACCACCCCAACACTAGAAGCTTTCTCAAGCATTTCTACGTCTCTCTCAATTAATGAAGCAGCATCCTCTTGGTTATCACCATTTGCTGCGATTGAGAACATGTAATCTTCCTTGATAAAGTGCTTTAGCCTCTCTACTAGTAATTTTTCAATGGGCTCTTCCTCGTTGCGTATATCAGTGTATCCATAACGTACCACACAACGAAACACGTAGAGATCATATGGCTTCACCCTGCGGAAGAGGAACCTTTCTTCTAATGGCACTTTGCTTATGGGAAGCGATTTGACCGAAGCAAAGACAAGGACAGAGTGTAAAGCTGGCACATTCTCCACATAATGTTTGAAAATTGGTGGAATTCCATGTACAAGCTCAGAATAGAAAATTGCAAGTCCAGGAAGACGATGATGTGAATTTGTCTCATCGACCGTTTCTTTAACTTTTTCAGGAGAGATCTTGTTTTCTAGCTCGAAGTGGTATTTCTTTCGGTACACATAGTTCCATACGTACATGATAAACAATAGGAACATAGCAAAAGCCAGTGGAAGGTAACCACCTTGATCAAACTTGTACAGGACTGCACTTAGGTATACAAGCTCAACCGAACCAATGACTAGAACGTAGGCGATTATAAGAAGAATGTGAGTTTTCCATATCAAAATCATGACTAGTACGAGGAAGCATGATGTTACAACCATCACAAACACCACCGCTATTCCTGTAATTAAACAACAAAACGAATGTGTTAAATATAGTCCTTCTTTTTACACTGTCGATGTATATAACTAACGAAGTTCCAATGATAAATGGCCTTACCATATGCATTGCTAAGCTTTTCAGTGGTCCTGAACGCAAGAGTGACAAGAACACAAGCCAACATGAGAAGGGTATTGATTTCAGGAATGTAGACTTGACCATGATGCTTTTTTGATGTGTGCACAATTTTAACACGAGGAAAACAACCTAATGCAAGGGATTGTTGGATTATAGCGAAAGTCCCAGAAATCAAGGCTTGACTTGCAATGATGGCTGCCAATACAGCTACCCCAAACATTGGCCAATATATACTCTCTGCATTTGTAAGGCAAAAGAAAAGAGCATGAGAGATACATAACTATATGTTTGTATAAAAGAATTTAAATTATATACACCGTCCGTACAAAAAAGAAGATGTACTATCTATGCTTACTAGGTAAGGACTTGTAGAAAGTATCAGCAACTTCATCACTGTGCTTTGTTAAAAAGGCGCCTTGACCAAGATATGCTAATATGAGCGCCGGGTATGTTACACAGCACATGCTTATTTGTACAGATCTAACAGTAAAATGACCAACGTCTGCAAATAGTGCCTCAGCTCCTGCAATTATTCATCCAACATTTTACTCGTCATAAAAATTGTTACAAAAGCTGTTTATATTTTTCTTCTTCTCTTCTCGAAATTTAATTAAGGGTGTTGGGATTATTGTTACCTGTTATGCACATAACAACCCCGCCAAGGGAAACCCAAGCATCCTTTCCGTTCCTTTGAAAATAGGCGACGATGTACATAGGATTAAGAGCTCGGAATATAGTTATATCAATGGTCACGAAGTTGTAGATGCCAATGCCAGCAATCAAAACAAACCAGATGCAAAGTATAGGTGCAAATGTGTAGCCAACTTTTTCAGTTCCAAATCTTTGAAACACGAACAGCAATATCAAGATGGCTACTGAAAGCCACACGATTCTATCTGCATTCAATGTAAAAAAACATTTCATATGACTTTCAAAATTAACTCATAGGACAAATTTAAGATGCAAAGTTTACCTTCAGTCATGACTGAGGGTGCAGCTGCTTTGACTCCTCCAACAGCAGACAAAACTGGTCACATCAATTATAGAAATTCTCATTAGTAACTTAAACGCCTATGATGTTCTTAACCTAGTATCATTCTGTTTAGAATTAGAAGGGGGGAGTATTAATAAAAAAAGGGGAAAACTGTGACGTGCCTGAAATACAGGGCGTGAGGACACCATCTCCAATAACCATGGAAGTACCAAGCATTGTGGCTAATAACAAAAAGAACTTTCCAAAGTTGCTGTTTTCTAGCGTTGACTTAAGCTTTGAAGCTCGACGTGTACGTCTATCTGGCATATCAAGTTTAAAAGTCGACACATCTTTGTCTTCTGCCTGTGTACTTGGAATTAATCCCACCTTAGTATATCGGCATATCAATGAATATAACGCAAATGTACCTCCTGCCATAATAATATAAACAATATGATTTAAAGAAATTAATGCATTGGAAATTAAAGTTTGTAGCTAGTAAAAGAAGTGAAGTTACCATCTCCGTTGTCATTAGCTTGGAGAACAATGAAGACATACTTGACGACAGGAATCAAAGTGATAGTGTAAATGATGAGAGAAAGAGCGCCAAGTATATCCTCTTCATGTTTTATACCATCAAGGAAAATGGTCGAAAACACGTACAATGGTGACGTTCCAATATCTCCGTACACCACCCCTAAGCTCTGAAATGCCAGTTTCATTATCACTGACCATCCCAGTACCTGATCAACCACAAAAACATTCACTACAAGAAAGTATATAATTTGCAATAACTTTTTAGCGACAACAATTATATTGTTGCTAAATATCAATAAATGGCAACAACTCTATTTAGTTGTTGCTATATCATAAAAATTTTACCCATAAAAAAATTTTTGTTGGCTAACGTTTTAGTTTTGTTGCCATAACTTTTTGGGTAATATAACAATTTTAAAATATAAATAAATTAACAACAATAAATTGTTAATGTTGCCAAAAGTATTTTCTTGTTGGTAAAATACTTATTTCTCTCAACAATTTGTTTGACTTGTGGCCTAAAGAATATTTAATTCTTTCTCTCTCAATTTTCAGCAATAACAAAAGCGGGAAACTTCCCTCCCTTCACCCCCCCACCCCGCCCCCGCCGAATCCCTGCCCTTTTTTATTTTATTTTGGCTTTCACCTTCCCCAATTCTTTCAACCCTTGTACTCGTGCTTTGAGTTAAGGGGTTCGATTGAGCGACAACCTTATCTTCCAGTATTGCTGCTATGGCTTGAAATTGTAAGCTCATTCATCTCTAGTTGTTTTAGTTGTTTCTAGTTTAGGGTTTCAATTCCTTGAATGATTCGATTTAGATTTTTAGTTAGGAGGTCCTAACCAGAGTCGACAACTTTCTCAAAGCAAAATCTAGGGCATCAAATTAACTATTTTCTTACAGGTTCTAAATAAAGATAGTGTGGTTCATCCACATCAGTACTTATAGCTCGATTGCAGTTCTAATCAATAGTTTCATGTCTTATTTGGTTGGTATTTCTACTTTACCTTCTTTTTTTAAAAAAATATTACGTCTATTTCTATTGATGGTAGATTCACAAGCAGATCGTGACTATAATTTATTTATTTATTTATTGGTATATTTGTGCCTTTTGAAATTGGGATAGATGTAGTTTTTGGCATCTGCTTTGGCTATATTTTTTGGGTTGTGATACTCCTAAGGAATAGGCTACTTCTGGCTTTGCGGAGCTCTCTTTGGATGTGTTACTTTGATTCCAACATCTCACTGTAAGTTAGTTTCTGTTTTATCTATATCCATTTCTTTAGCATTTATGTTTGAAAATTGAAAGGTGCAACTTGAACCAATGTTTTGTGTCTCTGGGAGTAAAAAGAGGGAGCTTGCTATGCCATGATCCACAAGTATGTCGATCTTCTTGCTTATGTAACTTTTTAAACTACAAAATCTCTATTTCTCTCTTTCGCTACTCTGTTATTTTCTTCATACTTTTCTACTTCAACCTGGTGCACTAAGCTCTCGCTAAAAAAGGGCCAGACCACATTGGGTGTTTTCTACAGTTTTACCTTGCTATTTTGTAAGCGATTGTTTTCATGGCTTGAACCCTTGATCTACCGGTCACATGGCAGCTAAGTCTTCCCGTTGTGCCTAGTTTCCCTCCCGTTTACTGCACCAACATGTGCCAAAAAAGTTTTCCAGCTATACATGCAGCCTCCAAACTAATGGAGAGATGGTTGACTTAGGTTATTTGAAAATCTAACTCTCGTTATGATCCATGCTAAAGTTATCTAACTATAAAGAGACAAAATAAGCAATTGAAGTATGGACATCAAAATGAATTTTCCATTTATATCGATTTCTATTTATTTGCAAGCTATAGAACAACAACTACATCTCAATCCCAAACTAGTTGGTTGGCTATTTGAATCATTTATAATCATGCCATTTCATTTGGATAGCTATGAAGATATAAAATTACCTATTAAAAATTGTATTGATCCTGTATATTTTTTTTGTTTTGTTTTGCATGTTCATAATAGTTCTTTTTTATCAAAGCATTTTCATAGTAGCTAACTCTGCAATGACTTCAAGTGTAAGTTACAAGCCTGCTACATAAGTAAAAACATCCTTTGATTTATCCATGCTTCTATAGTTTGCCTGATATATTTTAAATTCTATATTCAGGTTGATCTTTTGGGAGATGAGGTAGATACACTTCTGCGACTACTTGAAAAGATATACATCGCACTTGATCACTACTCACCAGTTTTGCAGCATTATCCTGGAGTAAGTCAAATCTTCTGCTCAAAGAAATCAAATTAACTTCCCCTTTAATATAAGTGTTTTTGGGTTCTTTTGATTTAACTTGGAGCAAGTAAACTTGTTCAAGTATTGTCTCTAAGATTGCAAATACTAAAAATAATTCTATTGAGGCTGCTAGATTCAGGAACTGGCCTTTGCATCTGAAGACAGAATTTTTCTTGGCACCAAGTTTTGAAGGACAAGTTAAAGGAAGAAATTAAGAAAAAACAACACCAGAGTATGTAGTAGTTATCATGTAGGAACTATCAGTAATTGCGGTTGAAAAGGCAAGCAGGATAAAAGACTTTTTCCTGCTGCTGATGAACAAATTCCAGGGGTTGGGTGGAGGATTGGGCATTTAGGACTATCAGTAACTACGGTTGAAATGGCAAATAGGATAAAAGCCTTTTTCCTGCTGCTGGTTAACAAATTCCAGGGGTTGGGTGGAGGATTGGGCATTTAAGGGGGGGGGGGAGGCTATTTGTGTGTGTACGTACGAGGTTCGGGGGTGGGTGGGTGGGTGATTAGTTGCAGTTTTCCCTTAAGCTTGTATTGTAAGAGGTAACATTGTATCTTCTTACATATCTCTTTTATTCAAATGCAGATTATTGAAATTCTTACGCTGATAAGAAAGGAGTTAAGGGGAGATTCTGCTAAACCAGTGAAGTAATCTCCTACATAAGGTAACTTTCTTTTGCTATTGGTTAAATTTTATATGGTGGTCTTGGAAGCAGTATAATATTTCTCGGTTGCTATCAGTTAGAGCACCAGAATACTGGAGTGTGAAATGTCTATGCACATTCATAAAGCCTTATTTGTACTACCAATTATCATTCATTCACTACTTTTTTATAAGCTGCTAGTGCCGGTTCATAGTTCCACTTCTATATTTGTGTGTAATTGCTCTTGAATTATCTGTGCTACCAATTATACTTGCCTCCTTTTTTCCCAAGACATCGCAAGTGTGGAGAGAGAACTCTTGCTAATACAGTGAAACATGAGATGGAGAAAAAGAGGTAACTATGGCATGACCGTTGTACATGTTTCTAGTAGAGTTGGACCTACTGTGTAATTCCAAATGCACAACCAGTTAAGTTCATTTGAGAATTTTTGATTTTGTCAACTAAATGGAAAAACTATGGAGTAGATTGAAATTGCTGGAACTAGTGTCATATAGTGAATTGTATCTTTTTTTTCTACTACTCTGTTTTACGGCCTTCACATTCTTGCTACTATTTATATGTATTGATCTTATACTGTTATATTTTGAAAGAAGAGGACGAGGTAAGTATACAAGTCATGCTAAGTAACTTTATCTTCCATGAAAAAGTACATATCTTGGTTGTATGCACAAATGAGTATTTACTTGAATCAATCTTTGTATGTATTTGGTTTTGACTATTTTGGTTTTGACTATAATATTATATCTTTGGGAATATTTAGTAGGTTCTGATGCAATAACTTCATTTGGGGAAGTATTCAACTTTGATGAGGAATGTTTGAAATATTTACAAGTCAGTTTATTCAATTCTATTTGGAGTAGTTCTCTTGATGTGATAATTTTGCAACTTATATTTAGCTTTCTTTTAGCTGAATGTTTCTATTCAGCAATTCTGCAATATGTGACATTTCCAGTGATGAAGTAGTTGCAATATTTATTAAGTGGACAGTATGCATATCTTATTCCCTCTTTTTCTTTGTTAATCGAGTTTTGTACTTTACAATTTTCTTTTATCAAAATGTAATTATATTTATCTTTTTTGTAGGATGAATATGCTTAAATTATCATTGCTGGAAACATGGTTCATGCGGTGCAACAAGTTGTTGGAAGAAGATTTATTTTTGGGATTAATTATATTAGAACTTAATGATCTTGGGATATGATGCTTTTGTTCTTTTTGTAACTAAAGGCATACATTTTAGGAGATTTAATTTTTGAAAGTGTATCAATTTTATGTATTGTCATTTATATATATAAAATTTGTTATTTTATATATACATTTGTGAAATTATTGTTGGCAAAAGGTAATTCATAAACACTATAGCAATTGTTGCTAAAAGCCTTAATAATATATCAATAACTAACTTTACCGCCAATTTTTTTACCACAAAAAATATTGTTGGTAAATATGCTCACTTTTGCAACAATAATTTTTGTTGTTAAATGTTCTCATAATCCTCATTTGCATGACTTTTTACCAACAAAATATAATTTAAGGCAACAATAATTTTTGTTGCGTTAAGCTAGCTTTTGCAACACTATTGTTGGTTGTTGCAAATACTTTTCCCATCGGCGTTTATTGCCACGGCGTGCATGTTGTTGCCAAAACTACTTTTAGCAACAATATTTGATTTATGGCAACAAAAATTATTGTTGGCAAATGCCTTCTTTCTTGTAGTGATTCTTATTTGTAATATATATGTCATCAATGTGCGAGTCTATTTCTTCCTCTGGAATTAATTAATCATCATAATTAGCTGGAAAGGAGCTCAACGTACCTGCTTGGCACCGGGCATTTTGCTGGATTCCAAATCTAAGGAGTCGTGTCGCTTTAATTTCTGGCTAGCAACTGTCTTTCCCTTAAGATTTTTCTCATGAGGAACATCATCTTGGCTTTGCTCAATGTTGCTCCCCATCTTTTTTTATTTATTTAAAGATTGGTTTATTACCCTTCTTTTGTTTGGAAAAAGAAAATGATCAAACAAATCAATCAAAATTAGAGGAGTTCCATCGACATGGTATACTTATTAACCAATGAATTGGTTAATCAAAGAGAAAAGGCAAGAGACGTAGGTGGGAGACACCAACGAAATACAAATGAATTTTGAGTCCGAGAACTCAATATGAAATTTCGCACAAGCGTTTCCCAACGCTACAATTCTCTACGAGAACTTTGAAGTAGATACCAAAATCTACTTAATGAAAATGAGGAAAAGGAGGCACTTATTTATACGAGAAGAAAACCGTGTTCGTCCTCTCGTCTTATACGTAAATGGCGCCTAAGATGTACTGACCAACAAACATACCAATGGACAACCGCGTCTGTCGTATCTCCTCTAATTCTCAACTATCATATGTCCTGTTTCCTCGACTCTCATATGTACTGTTTGTTTACTGGTGGTCAATGTACGTAACTAAACTTAGAAATAACACATTTCTATTAATGGAATAAGATGAAATTTTTATGTTTAAAAAACAGATTGCAAAGTGTTACCCCAAAACGCACACGCACTCGTGGTCGTACAAGATAGGATTGTAATCCAGATAGCGTACCCACAGGGACTTGTGATTAACTATCTACTAAATTAAACCCAAACAATATATCAATCTATTCAAGCGAATCGTAAAGTATGTATATTTAGCTAAAGCTAATCTAGAGTAACAAACTAAGAGATTAAAAGAAACAAGTTGGAGAATATTAGAGACGAATTCAATGAGGGACGATATTCTAGATCTATTGGTTAACTAACAATCCCGTTGAGTTTTTCACTTAAATTGTCTAATTAATTTATCTAGTTTATTGATTGTCAGGGTTAATATTACTCGTAGCCTTCTTCCGAAGTACTACTCGTTTATTCAAGCTAACATAACACCTATGTTCCTATCACTACAAGAAATCCGGTAAAAACCGACCAAAAAAACGATCAACTTTGGTCGGTAATGGCCAATAACCGTCCAAAACGCGACCATTTACGTGTGGACGGTATTTTGAAGGTCGGAAAGGCATACCGACCAAAGTTGGTCGGAATTACCGACCAACCTTGGTCAGTATGCTCTACACGACCATCTGACAGTTTAATAGGATTACCGACCAAAATTGGTCGGAATATTATTTTATTAATTTAAGTTAACCGACCAAGCTTGGTCGGTGTATTAAATTTATTAATTTTTAGTACCGACCAAAGTTGGTCGGTTTTGAAAAATATTTTTTTCTTAAAATTATTAAAATTTAAAAAAATCGACCAACTTTGGTGGTAAACTGGACTGGGTAGGCACAAAACCGACCAAAGTTGGTCGGTAATGTTGAAATATGAGAATTCATTATACATTAACCGACCAACATTGGTCGGTAAATTGCAATTTAAATTATTATTTTTATTAGTAACCGACCAAGGTTGGTCGGTTTTCTGGGTTTAATTTTGGTAGAAAATGCCTGTTTTTTTAGCTAAACCACCTGCCAAATCAAAACAGCATACCAATACCCCCCAATTCAACTCTAACAACCACCAAATCGCCACAAATCCAACCAAAAACCCAACAACAACGACAACAACAACCAAACATCCAACTAAAACTTTAAAACTAACAAATTAAAGTTCAATTGAACATAACAATCCAAAACCAAGTTAAAACTAATTACAACAAGTTCAAAATTATTTAATCTAATTCAAAACTGGTTCTATTAGTCTAGTTTAAAGTATATAAAAGTATTGGTCAATGGGTGTTTTCTACAACATCATCATCACCGTCTGATGAACTTTCATCTACAAGACGGTATAGAGAACGGTCTTGTGGAGGATGGGAAAAACGATCACTGGGAGGACGATCACGAGGAGGACAGAAGGAACGATCACGTGGAGGTCGAGCCTCTGGCGATGACTCACGAGACCGGGGCAACGGAAAAGCTCCAGTAGATAGGAGAGTTCTAATCTGAGCTTGCATACCAAGGAATTGATCATCTCTAAGCCTTCCTCTTTCCTTGACCGCTTCTAGCTCGGATGTAAGCTTTCGTCACTGTCTCCCGCATAGCCGAGAGGCTCTCCCTATTAAGTTCCTCGCCTTGCAAGGAAGTCATTCCACACCTATAGCGATGGAATTTTTTCGTAGGAAGCCCGTATACCTTCCCCCATTTTGGACCGCCAACAGCTTCCAACCATATTCTTTCAGCATCCTCGTGCGAAAGTTGGCTTGGCTCGGCCGATTCACCAGATGGATAACTACGAATGAATTCTTCCACGTTACTTTGGTAGTGACCCTACATTATTTTAAATTAAATTAGTATTACTATTCTTATAAAGTTAAATATAACACTTACAGAAAATTTAAAGCTTACATATGCAGTCTATGCCCGGTCCTCGACCCACCTATCTCCATCCCCCTCTTTCTTCTTCTTTACAATATGCGTCTCCTTGAATAGCTCATCATGGCTCATTGGACGCCCACACTTCTTTTCCTCAATACAAATTAATTAGTTAATAAATAGAATTGATATACTTAGAAAAGTAAAATAATTTAAGCAATTACCAATCTTCTTTTTATTGTCCCCAAGTTGATCGCACCTCCGGTATGCAAGGAGCCTCCCTTCTTGGATGCCGAGCTTTCTTTCCTTTTATGCTCCTCTCTAAGAAATCCGCGGTATGCCATTGCCTTACAAAATCATTCCATAAATCCTCAAGACACCAGCGAGGCCTCTTGTTTTTCTTTCTAGCATCTGAGAAATTATCCGTCAATCTCTTGCAAGCTTTATGATGAAAATTTACGGCCACTTCCGCGCTATAGCGGTCTTCCCAAACACACTTGCTCTGCATTTCAAAAATTAAATATTAGATGGAAATATCATAAATATAAATTATTAAACTGCTTAAAAGAATATTTATACATTAAATTAATTGAAAATTTGCTCCTTCAGCGAGAATGGGAAATTAGTCCAAGTCGCATAAGGGCCATCATAAAGCTTTCTGATGGCATTGGTGATTATCTTTGTAGTCTACTTACTCGGCCTGAACCTGCAATTTAACAATAAAAACACATGAATATCTTAGTAAAAACATTACAAAACAATAGACACAAACATAAGAAATAACTCTTACCCATCACCCTCAGGGACTATGATGATCCTGCCATAGTGATCATAATGCACTACCTCTGGATCATCATCCTCAGCATGTGTATGAGAGGCATGTGTAGACGGTGTAGGGGGCTCAAAGCCACTGCCTCGCAGGCGAAGGCATGAAATAGATGGAGTCGATGATGAAGATGGTTGCGATCCCTGTGACTGCGACATAGCTGGATGCGACCCATGTGGCTGTGATAATGATGGCTGTGACCACGAGTGGCTGTGACATGGATGGATGCGATCCATGTGGCTGTGATATGTAGGGATGTCATCCACATGGATGTGATGCAGATGGTTGCGATCCACGTGGCAGTGAGACAGCTGGATTGTATGTCGGACGTATAGTCCTATGGACCTGTGATGGAAGACCTAGTGTCTGGATGAAGGTGTAGGCCTTATGATGCTGTGGCATCTCAGTATAGCCGTGTGGTGGAGGATAAGACATAGACATCTCTAAAGAGGGTGGAAAAGAAGGAGTATTATTATATACCCTCCTCTTTCCCTTCCTAGCCTTTTCTCGACCCCGAGAACTAGTAGGGTCAATGTTACCTTGACCTTTGCCTGCCATGTGCATAATATAATACATATTTAGATTGAAACATATAAGAAACTAGCTATAAAACGAGAGTGCTTTAAAAAACCAACTTTTTAATCCTCGTCGACGTATTTTTCCTTGTCCGAGAATTCTTTGTCCTTGTTTGAATTTCATCAGTTGATTCTTCGTCTTCATTTTCTATAATTATTACTTCATTTATATCAACTTCTTCCAATATGTGTTCAGGATGTTCCAAATCATTTTTTAACTGATTGTCTACTATTTGGTGAACACTGGAGATATCGTTTTGATATGCAACATCTAACACATTCTCGACTTCCACCCTACCTATAGGCTTAGTTTTTATTACAACCCACCAATCGGACTTATTCCGCCTCACTGGATAAAGATCATAATACATTTTCCTAACGTTATGTGCAATTTATGAAAGGATCATAGCGATCATACTCCCTCATATGATTAACCTCGATTATATTGCATTGGTGGATACTCTTGTACCTCTTGTTGGATTTGGGTCAAACCACTTGCATCAAATGAGTATCAATTTCTTATATGCCAACCTGTATATTCTAGTTGCAATATTTCTTTGACTACACCATAATAATCAATATCTCCAACTTGGTTGCCATCACCACCTTGAACTCACACCCCGCTGTTGTTGCTATTTTACTTTTAGAGCAATCCTCTGCATGAAACTTATAACCATTCACTACGTACTTAGACGTTGTTGTGACCTGAAGCCCAGGTCCCCAAGATATATCTTTCAATAATTGATTTACACCATTATTTGGATTATTTACCTACATAGTGTTAAAAAAATTCATAAGTTAGCATAACCGAATATATATATATATATATATATATATATATGTAACATCAGAAGAACATTATCAGGATAAACTTACAAACTGTTTGAACCACGTATCAAATCTCGTATATACTGCATCATGGCCAAATTGACCCACGAAGTGACTGTGACACATCAAATATTTTTAGTAGTTGCATCAATATGTAATCGCAGTAAATTTTACATTTTGATAACTAATAAATCAATACTTACTTGAAAAATGGTACAACTTCGGAACAATTTAGCAACACATGAATTGTAGCTGACTTGTACTCCATATCACTCAAATTCTCTTTCTAACATCCTTAGATGGTTGATTGAATATGGACATTGGTGGATATAATGGATCATTCACATATTCGACAGTGTGCCTATTGGGCCTATTCCTAGAACAAAAATGTGCAGTTTCCTTTGCAAGATAGGCTTCGCATATAGATCCTTCAATCTTGTTCCTCCGCTTAACAAATTGTTTGCATTTGCCAATTGTCCTCCATAATGTCATGTTAGCCAAGAACATTCAAATAAAATAGAATATTACATCAAACTTATAATATTACCTCTCAAAGGGATACATCCATCTGTATTGAACATGCCCTCCTAGTCATGCCTCATGTACAAGGTGGACTGGAAGGTGTTCCATCACATCAAAGACACCACATGGAAATATTTTTTCCATCTTACTAGAAGTTAC